GAAGAAATACTTATTATTATCATGTGTTGGTTACTTATGTCTAATTATAGCGACTAAATTTTATATTTTTTAGATTATAATGACTAGTGTGGGGCAAACTGTTTTAAAAGTTGCTTTAAACAAAATGGCAAAACATGAGAAAGCGTGCATGAAAAATCTACATACGTTTATACCATTTGTATTTGATACTTTCGGTTTCCTTGCGCCAGAAGCTGTGGAGTTACTCAATAGAGTCCAACGGGTCATGCATAGTAATGTTATAACTCAAAGATCTATAGATGTTGTTTTTAAAAGAATTAGTTTTGACATCCAAAAATGGGTTGCGGCACAGCTTGTTGCTTGTTACCCGCTACGTTTATGTAAAACTTTTTTCTTTATTTAATATATAATTTTCTAAAAGAAAAAGTATAATTGTTATAATAGTTAAAGTAACTATATATTTAATTTTCTATTAACTTGTCGCTAAATATGAAATAATGAGCTCAATTTTGGACGAGGCACTCTATACCATCATCGAACCATATATCAAAAATTGTTCCCATCCACCCCCGATACCCAACAGGTATCTTATCAGGGATTCAGGGTGCCCCATCAATGTTGAAATGATGCTGAAATTTTCCCCGAACCCGACCCAAAACCCGAAATCTAGGCCAAAAATTTTGAGAATGCTTTGAAAAAACTACAATTGCTAAACAATAAATAGATTACTAACATTACAAACAATTGTGGACATGTTACTAACATTACAGATTACTAAAACTACAATTGCTAAACGATGAACAGATTACTAATATTAATATTACAAACAATTGCTAGATAATTGTAGAGATTACTAACATTACAGACTATTATGCATAGATTACTAACAATACAGACAACTATAAATTATGAGGAGAAATTACAAACAATAGTAGAGAAATCCTAACATATAGACATGATGAATCTAAATTATCTTTCAAAATTGTTCTATACTCTATGCTTTCTTAGTGAGCTTTAGAAACAACATTGATGTATTGGAAAAGGTTGCACATGTGCAAAATATGGACTTGCACAGGTGCAAATTTTAGGCATTCAAACTGATGATTAATTTGATAGATTACTCTATGAAAATTGAAAATTACTTTGAAATCAAGTATGGACATTCAAACGCACTGAAGAAATAAACGATCATATTACTTGATGGAGGAGCGGAGGCGTGGGGCTGCCGGCTGGCAGCTGGATTTTGGAGATTTTTTGTTCCCTTCCCGATGTTTTGTTGAGACGATGAAGTAGGGTCAGTTGTAATAAATTATAAGATGATGGTGATGGGGGTATACGTTGTTGCCTTGCTGCAACGGTGAGGAATCTACGACGTTGGCATATCGTTATTGGAAGAGTAAAAGGTGGAAGAGAACCAGAGAAGAATGGAAGAGTAGAAAGCATCGTTGTGATCTCAATGTCTCCCGGTCTTAATGACTTTAATGACTTAGAAGTTGTTTAGGCAAAAAAGATGACTTTTTTTTCAAAAAGTCAGGCATACATGTCTTTTCAAAAAGCCAAGGAGTTTAAAAAGCTCTCCCAAACGTCTCCTATTTAGGGTTAAGGCTAAAATTGTTATTTCTATATATATATATATATATATATATATATATATATATATATATATATATATATATATATATATATATATATAATATATATATATATATAGGCGGGGCTGAGATATCTCACTCCCTGCCTCGAAAAATATTTGATAACTACTTGATCCCCGACCCGTTAACTCGATAAGATCGACTTGACGTGACCAGAAATCTTCGGGTTTCGATTTTCCCCATTGGGTTCGGGGTAATTTGCCATCCCTAAATCAAAGAGGGTGGGTTTGAATTTTGAAAGTAATTGATGTAGGGGGTGTTTGGGAGTGTTTTTCAAAATGACTTATTAATTTATTGGTTTTTCAAAAAATCAATAAGTTAAAAAGATGTTTGGTAAACAGTAACTTTTTAAACAAAAAAAAAAGAAAAAAAAGTGATTTTTCCAAATAGCCAATAATTCATGGGTTTTCTAAAAAGTCAATAAGGTTTTTTCAAAAGCACTCCCAAACACCCCCTTAATCTCATAACCAAAATTATGGTCCCTCTCGTTTACATCCATTTTCATTTTAATCTAATTTTTGTTGTGTTGTGGAATAGGCAAGATGACATAACTAGTCTACGAGGTTTCCAAATGTTGCACATGCGGTCCCTAAGATTAACTAGGTAAATTCTCATTTGTTAAATGCAGATCCCTCTTTTTATTTTTCTGTTTTATTAACATTATTGAATAATATATGGGCCATTTTCTATTAAAGCCAAAAGAAAACCCCTAAAAGGCTATAGCCCCATTAATCCCCATCTTCACGCGTCCAATGTTTGCAAATTCGGTTCGACAATTGAATTGGTAAGTTCGGTTATGGGAACACGAGAGAGTCCATTTTGGATGGCATCGGTATTAAGGATTGGATGTCAATGTCTAGTCATTGGGATTCACCATGATCGAGATCCTCATTGGAAAGCCAGTTTTGCATGACAGAGGAATAAACATCTTCTTTTTGTTTTTCCTCCATCACCATCACATATATCATGATCAACACCTACAGATTTTCACAAAGATGCGTATTTGATTGGTCTCAAGTTCTTCAAACGAATAAATGCTTGAGATTTATCAATTCGGCATGCAAAACTCCGACACAAAAACGTAGGATTTTTTAAATTAACTTCAAACTCAGGGGAAATTTTGGAATCCGAAGGTTAGGAGATAGAATTAGAATCTCACATGCCCCTTCCTCTTTTCTTCACATTCTAATTTAGGGTTGGAGATAGCTTGAGAATTAGATGTTTTGGAAAAGAAAAAAAAATGCTCATCGCCTTCTTTACTTTTTTTTTTCTTTTTGAAATTTTTTAGGAATAACAGAGGTGGGTGTATGATTTTGATTTTGATAGTTCTCATATGTGTGACTTATCAAGCCTTATAAATGAGATTCTCGGATTCGCCAAGGTCCAAATTAAACTTTTCATGATTATTGGAAAAGATTCAATAGCCTTTGGTTGATATGTCAACAACATCAAATGCCTAAACAACTCCTCATCCAACATTTGTATGAAGGTTTGTTACCAATTAAAAGAAGATTTGTTGATGTTTCAAATGGTAGAGATGTCGATAGCAAAACTCCATAATAAACTAATACTCATAAGTACTTAAATAGAGATTTTACTTGAGTAACTTGCACTTAGACAGATGAAAGAGAATGTGCATGTGAGTGTATGTTTATTTCTTATTTCTTTTCTTTTTTTATCCGACTCCTGAAAATGACATGTCATACATCTTTTGTGACAAAAATGACCGTGGCCGTAAGATTGTTGCTAAAAAACTGATGTGGCAGCATAGCATGGCATGCATCATTCCCTCCAACCTAATGTAATTTTCATGGCTTTTACTACGGGAAAATACACTAATTTTATGTCATTACATCTAAATGTTGCCTCATTGATCCCTATTCAAATTCTTTTTGGTTTGGTTGTTTAAAATAGCAAATTATTTGTTTTAGGTAATATTTTAAAAGATAAACAAAAAAAGCATTTTTTATAAAGAATAAATAATGTATGTTTATTTTCATTACATATCTACAATGAGATAAACAATTACATGTTTAATTACAATTAAATGTTTTCATGCGTGAGGATCAACATTGACATGTTCATGCTAAGCGATTTTTTTTGTGCCTCTATTATCCATGAAGTTTTAGTGGCCATTGACAATTTGTTATAAAGATAAAGAATTTAAAGCTTTAAAATATAAGAATAACGATGATTTATCTAAATTGGGCATATGAAATTTGATTGAACAACAATTTATCATCCTTTCGTAGTTAACTTGTTTATTCTACTAAATATATGAATACAATAGTACCTTAATGCAAGATACAATATAGGCTTTCATGAGTTAGCAATCAAAAGGCTTCAAGTTTCATCAAAAGTGAAAGTTTTTTATGTTGTAGTGATTAACAAGTTTAGTAACCAATTAAGTATCATAAGTGAATGAACCTTTTGAGTTGTAGTACCAGAAGATAAATTGAAGTAGTTTGAGTACTAAAAAATTATAAGTTACAAGTTATTAAACATTTGAATCACTCATAGACCTTATTGATATAGGTTTGACCATATCAGAAATAAATAAATTAATAATCACTTTGAAAGAAAACAAGAAAAACATAAGCTTTTTAATATAAGAAATCACAAACACCCCATTATTTTTGTATTTTGGTGCCAATCGGGAAAACAGAAAGAGAAAGAAAAAAAAATGTTCAGTTGAGTTGCAACAAGGGATAGAGAGACATCAAGACAGGAAAAAATCAGAAAAATATTAGACATCCTGAATGACAGAGATCGATATGATTCTATTATTATTAATAAAATCATTTTTTGAGATTCAGAATATATTTAACAAAGAATCATGAAAAATGTATTTAGAGTCCAAACATAGATTGGAATTTAAAAGATGGTTTCTGTTTTGATTATAAAAATCTAGGATGCCCACAAGCAAAAACGACTTAATGAGATCACTAAATCACTACAACATTCCCATAACACCCCTGATATATCAAAAGCAGATTCACTACCCTGGTTGGGTTGTTGTGATTCAAGAAGAATGGATAATCCACAATGCAGGTGTTAATTTGATTTCTATGAATAAGAAAGGAAGCTAAGCTTATATCAACTACATTAACAACTATAATGTATGCATACAATCAGACATACAAAAAACCAGGAATGAATCAAAGCATTATAAACAGGAATAAAGTTTCATAATTAGCAAACGATGATCGATTATATGAAAAATGGAAATAGGTAATCATGAAAACAGTCTAACAAAATTAAACTTCTACGAAAGATAACACCATAACAATGTCGCAAAATACTCTCAGAAAAAGAAACGAGACACAAATTAAAGATAGTTTCAAAAAGGGCAATAACATTACTCTGTTTTCAACGGTATGATTTCTGGAACCTAGCACGAGCACCACGACCTCCGAACTTCTTCGGCTCGCACCTTCTCGGATCAGCAACGAGAAGAGTCCTGTCGTACCTCACGAGAATATCTTTGATTTCCTTCTTCTGTTCTTCATCAACGAATTTCTGGTAGTAAGCGACGAGAGCTTTCGAGATGCTTTGACGGATTGCGTAGATCTGAGAAGTGTGACCTCCACCCTTGACGCGGATCCTCATGTCAACGCCAGCAAACTTGTGGCGTCCAAGAAGAAGGATCGGCTCGAACGCCTTGTATCGGAGGATTTCAGGCTGAACAAGCTCGATTGGGACACCGTTGATTTTGATTAGGCCACGACCAGCCTTGCAGTGAGTTACGGCAACCGCCGTCTTTCTTCCGGCCGAAGCATTGGACGGAATTTGGAGGAGCTGCCGCCATGTTTGTGAGAAACCCTAGTTGCCTAAGAGTGATCTCTGAGAGGAAGAAAATGTCAGGCGATGAATTGTGAGAGAGGAGTTTTATGAGCTGTGCTAGGGTTTTGTTATAAAATTTTTGGGCTTCATTCTTATGGGCTGAATATATGTTTTTTTGGGTTATTTGATCCATTAGAATGTTAGATATTCTTCAAATGTGCTTTAGATGAAGTTTTAAAGCTCAATTGCTTCATTAGCCCATTAGAGGACGGGCTTTTGATTCGTTTGGAGAAAACATGATCATATAATTTTCTTTCTTTAGAAAATTAGACATTGAGACAAATGAAAATGTTGACAATGTTCGGTAACACTAAAATCTTGTATAATTCAAATTTCATAGCATTCTAATAAGCATATATAAGAATTTAGAGTACATTGCATAAATGGTCATTGGTTTTACAAATCCGTGTTATGAGTCTTAACTTTCAAAAATTTGACACAACCTGTCATTAATGTTTTATATTTTTGCATTGTCGATCCTTATTGCATTTGTGGATATCTATTTAAATGTCTTCATGTGCCCCTCACACGAGAGTATCTCCATCTTAAGTGTATAATTAGTCTAAGATCGAGGAGTCCTAGGGCGGTCGGGAATAATATGTGCATAATAGCTCGTTCTCAGTTCTCACCTCAAAAATCTTTAGAACTATATATATATATATATATATATATATATATATATATATATATATATATATATGTGTGTGTGTGTGTGTGTGTGTGTGTGTCACCTCTGCGATTTATTTGTGTTAGAAGCTCAAATTTTGGTGAAATCAAGTGTAATTCAAAGAGAATATAACATCATCTTGGATTTGAGATAAATAACCGACACTTGTTCTTGTCCGGTGAAATTGGTATGATCTATGGTTTATAAAATTAACCTTAATGTTAAAAATTGTTTTTCATGATTCATTTGATGTTAGATTACAGAACAATGAGTAACAAAAACAAGTTTTCTTATAACATTAACATGATTGAGTCAAGAACCATCAAAGATGAAGTTGATAAGTTATAGGTTAGTAAAAGTGATGCAAATGCAAGTTGATTGATGAAATTTGATCATTTTTTATGAAAATCATAATGTATTCAAAATTTATGTGTTCAAGCTTTATTGAATAAGCTGATGTTTGACGATAACAATGAGTTTATTGATTAATAGTTGATGCTATTAATGGCATTGCGAGACAAAATCATGTATATTGAGTTATTGCTTATGATTATTTGGAGATGTCTAGAAGTGGAGATTTGGATAACATCAAGATATAAGTTTGTTTGAATTAACTTCAAAAAGGTGGGTAGATATAAATTTGCAACTTTGGACACATGTTACAAATTATTTGTTTCATTACAAAGTTGAAACATCAATTATTATGATATGTTTATACAATTTCTTTATGACATCTTATGATTAATGTTCAAAGTTACAAATGTATTATCATTGTAAATTGTGTCATTATGTGTGTAAAATGAATGTTGGAAAGAAAATATATAAGGTATATGTAACGCCCGTGTTTCTAAGCTAGGCATTAATATTGATGTTATAGTCTAGGTTAACCTTTGTAACTCATTTGGAAGAAATGAAAAGGAATTATGTGAATATTATGTGAATTATGTGTTTTATGCATAATTATTAGGGTTTTTCTAGACAGTCCAGTGGAACGCTGGCAGGCCCGCAACGTGTAGGTGTTAATGAACTTGGGTGTTCATTTGCTGTACTACATCCCCCTCATGGTTGCCTTTAGGACATGTATGGCTGAGGAAACCCCTTAGCAGTAGTGTCCATCCCGATGATATTCTTTAGGCTAGGTCCCTTGTGATAAGTGTTCAGGGACGTAAAGTGAGGATAACGAGAACGGGTAATCAGGGTTATTGTTGATTGGTGAACTTAATAAGTTTATTATTATTGTGGTTTGAAAACCCTATATGCTCACCAGGCTCCCAAGCCTGACCCACTCAGCTTTTTATGTTACAGGTAGTGGACCCCGAGCATAGTCGGAGGATGATGAGAGATTTTTGGATTATAGGCCAGTAGTTGTAAATAACTGTTGAAAGGCTTATAATGTCTTGTTTATGCTTTTGATCTGTATCGGAACATGAGATCCCGATGTTTTGATATGAAATGAAATTATATATTTCTTAAAGATTCTTATCTCTTCCGCAACATTTTAAAAAAGATTTCTCTGATTTTATTTTAAAAAGCATAAATTAAATCAGTCTTTTCTGGCCGAGAAATTAGGGGATGTCACAGTTGGTATCAGAGCATTAGTTTAAGCGAACTAAGAAATTGTAGGATTTCTAGACTTAAACTTAGAATGCTAAGTGATGATTGTGAGATGAGTGTCTACCATATTTTAGACACAAGCACTAGTTTATTTTAGGAAAGATGCCTAAGATGCTTTTATGTGCTAAATGCTATATGTTTGCCATATATGCCATTATTTGTTCGGATCTATGGTATGTTGCCGACCGGATCTGGAAACCTTATGTGTGTGTAGGATTCTAAGCATACGATTACAATATTAGAACTAACATGTAAACGTTTCGGAGTAATAAGGGAATTTAAAAACCTATCGAGGATAAAGACCTAAATTCGCCTTATTCGGTATATAGATTATAATGGCAAGAACTCGTAGTGGAGTTGCAAATGCAAACGGAAACAGGGATCAACAACCTCAACCTCAACCTCAAGTAGTTGAGCAAGTACCTGTTGTAGGAGCTACACCTAAGCCAATGACGATGGCTGGGGTACAAGCAATGATACAGATGATGTCAGATCGCCAAATGGAGGAAACAAGGCGATTACTACAACAAAATAGGGAAGAAACTACGATACCTGTTGAACAGCCCGAATTGAATGAAGGGCAATCAGTAGGAGGGAACTACAGTGGGACTCTTGGTCAAGCCAACCCACCGATAGTTAGACAAAACAACCAGGATGGAGGAGTTGATGGACGCGGATGCAAATACAAAGATTTCATGGCATCCAAACCACCGTGTCTATCTGGAAGTCCGACACCGGTGGAAGTCATGAATTGAATGTCCGAAATGGAGACGATGTTTGAAAGTTATGAGTGCAGCAACAAACAAAAGAGCGCACTTGCAATTCCTCTGTTAAAATCTGGTGTATTGAGCTGGTGGAAGTTACTAGCTGATTCGATGCCCAAGGGTGAAGCTAGCAATATGTCTTGGGAAGACTTTGTGGTACAACTGAAATTGCAATACTGCTCTGAGCAGGATCTTATGGAAATTAATAATGAGTTCCAGAATTTGAAGAAGGGAAAGATGAGCGTTATTGAATACGCTGCTAGTTTTACGGAAAAGATGAAGCTTGTTCCTCATCTAGTTCCAACTGAACTCTCTAAGGTCAACAAGTTTGCCCTCGGATTACCAGCGGACTTTGGTCCGAGGGTCAAGCAAGCAACCACTTTGAAAACCGCCATCTGGGCTGCTAAGAATGTTGAGATTTAGATCAGAGAGAAGGGTCTGGAGAGGGCAGAAGTTGGCGAAAAGAGAAATTTTGAAGGAGCTTCAGGTTCCAACAAGGAAAGCAAATTTTCAAAGTCTAAAAAGTTTGGAGGAAGAGGAGGCGAAGTTAAATGGTGTGAGAAGTGCAAGAAAAAGCACTCTGGGAAATGTAGTGAGGGGGTGACTTGCTACAAATGTGGAAAGACTGGGCATTTTGCCAACGCGTGTCCGTCCAACCAGAGGGTATGTTTTGGGTGCCATGAAGAAGGGCATATTTTGAAAGACTGTCCGAAGAAGAAGGAGGCAGCAAAGCCCAATCTTCCACCAAAGCCGAAGGCGAGAGCCTTTCAGATGACACTTGAAGCTGCAAAAGAAGAAGTCGATGTCGCTTCAGGTACCTTTCTCGTAAACGAATTGCCTGCCCAAATTTTGTTTGATTCTGGAGCCAATTACTCCTTTATTTCGCATGAATTTGGTAGAAAACTAGCTTTGCCTGTAGATAGACTAGTTAATGCTATAATAGTCGAGATTGCTAGTGGCAAGTTTGTACCTGTTAGCCATCGTATGAAAAACATCATCATTGACTTGGATGGGAATAAGTTCCATGAGGAATTATTGCCTATCGAGTTAAATGGTCTCGACATAGTTTTAGGAATGGATTGGCTTAGTGCCAATGATGCCGAAATATTGTGTAAGAAGAAGAAAGTAAAAGTAAACCCGCCAAGGAGAGAGTCGTTTATGGTGTATGGAGACAAACGCAGAGTAAACTCTAGAATCATTTCCCTAATGAAAGCCAGAAAGTGTTTGGCCAAGGGATGTACATCATATCTAGCGTTCGTGATCGATGCTAAGAAGGAAAAGAAGGAGGTGCAGAATATTCCGGTGGTGTGTGATTATCCGGAAGTCTTTCCCGAAGATCTTCCCGGATTGCCCCCTGATCGACAAGTAGAATTTCGTATCGACTTGTTACCAGGAACGACGCCGATAGCAAAAGCACTGTATCGATTAGCACCAACAGAGATGAAAGAACTTATGACACAACTTCAGGAGTTATTGGACAAAGGTTTCATTCGACCTAGTTCATCACCCTGGGGAGCCTCGGTGTTATTTGTAAAGAAGAAAGACGGGAGCATGAGAATGTGCATCGATTACAGAGAGCTGAATAAAGCGACAATAAAGAACAAGTACCCGTTGCCGAGGATCGATGACCTGTTCGATCAGTTGCAAGGTTCGAGCTATTTCTCGAAGATCGATCTTAGGTCAGGATATCATCAACTAAAGGTGAGAGAGCAGGATATCGAAAAGACTGCCTTCAGAACAAGATATGGACACTATGAATTTTTGGTTATGTCGTTCGGACTAACCAATGCCCCAACAGCTTTCATGGATTTGATCAACAGGGTTTGTAAACCATACCTTGATAAATCCGTGATAGTATTCATAGACGATATCTTGATTTATTCGAAACAACAGCAGGAGCATGAAAAGCATCTGCGTGAGGTGCTAGAAGTTCTGAAAAAGGAGAAGATGTATGTAAAGTTCTGCAAATGTGAATTTTTGGATTCAAGAAGTCCAATTTTTAGGTCATGTGGTTAACCAAGAAGGAATAATGGTTGACCCAGCAAAGATTGAAACTGTAATGAAGTGGGAACAACCAAAAAGTCCTACGGAGATTCGAAGCTTTTTAGGATTAGCCGGATATTATCGCCGATTTATCCAAGGCTTTTCTTCGATTGCTACTCCATTAACAACTTTGACCCACAAAGGAGCTACTTATACTTGGAATGAGAAGCATAAGGAAGCCTTTGAGAAGTTGAAGAAGAGATTGTGTGAAGCACCGATTCTTTCGTTACCTGAAGGAGTTGATGACTTCGCAGTTTATAGTGATGCCTCTGGAGTTGGGTTAGGTTGTGTTGTGACCCAAAGGGATAAAGTGATAGCGTATGCATCGAGGCAATTGAAAGAGCGTGAAAAGAACTACCCCACTCATGATCTGGAGTTGGCAGCGGTAGTATTCACCTTAAAGATATGGAGGCACTATCTTTATGGTACTAAATGCAAACTTTTCACTGATCATAAGAGTCTTCAATATCTCTTTAATCAGAAGGAATTGAACATGAGGCAACGGCGCTGGCTGGAGT